CAATTATCATAATCCATTCGGCATCGGTAAATGATGCAGCTAGAAATCTCATGTATACGAAATCGAAATAATTGTCAGGGAACGGTAGACCTTTTAAGACATTCGTGGTGTAAAAAGTTAAGTTTGACGGTTTTATACCAGTTGGAAATATTGGAGAAATGTCTATGCCAGTAAATGTGGATCTTGGGTAGGTTGTAGACTGTAATTTGATAATAATAATAATAATAATAATTACATAGTAATTAAATTAGAATGTATGTTAATGAAGGTGCTTGCACGCAAGTTTTAATGAATACCCGTGAGTATTAAAAATATTTACTTTTATACTTTTTTTAATTTTAATTTTTAGTAATAACTAATTAATTTTTTATTTTATTTTTAATTTGTTAAAAAAGTTAAATCTGTGCTTCTTTCAAATTCTATGAACCCTAATGTCTGTTCTCATATTTCTACACTTCTTTCAACTTCACCTATGCTAAAAAATTTTTCTAACAAAGAAAAATTATTACCAATTGGCGAGTGGGCTGGTAAGATTGGTGAAATTGCAAGTCAGAATCTTTATTCTTCATTATATGCGTTAAGAGGTATATTGTGTCGCGTACTTGAAGGTGAAAAAGTTATTAGAGGTTGTTGTTGCAGTAATAAAGAGAATCACTGTAGAAATGGAAAATTAGATGATAGGAATACTTGTCAATATGAGAATGAGAATAAATTAAAGGAATATGATGAATTAGTTAAAGAGGTTATCAGAGAGTGTAATGAAGAAAAAACAAATTATAGACATTACAGATTTTTTGCTCAAAAAATTTAAATATTTTTTTATATAATAGACAATTTAATGAGACTTGTGACATTTTTTGGGGTTTAAAAAACCTCTGCAATTGTTATTACTGTAAATTTCTTACACAAAAAAATTCATTTTAATTATATTAAAAATTTTACCTGCAATTATTATATACCTCATCCCTAAAATTTCTAAGGTACAGTACGTTATAATAATAAAAAGTTTCTAATATATTTTACTACAATAGAATCTGCTAAAAATTTGTCTGTACGTATAGAGATATAGTTGATAGTTATAGTCAATTTAACTTGAATTATATATTATACATGTATTTTACAATAATATAGTCTTTAAAAATTATACATGCTGACTAAATCAGTTTAGAACACTAGACCCTAAAAATTCTTAATAAAAATTATTTACGTGTACATTCTTAGCATTTAGTGATAGCATATAGAATGCTGGCGTCATGCATAAATATTATGCATGTTTATTATGCATTATGTGAGAAAGCTTTGATGCATTTGCTAATGTGCATTGTGTGTGAATAAATAAATGTATTTTCAATTTGAAAATGTTGCCTAATACGATAATTTAAAAATATCAAAAATATCATTATCGGAAATTGACAAGCAAAATATTCAAAGAATAAGATTTAATTTTTTTTTATTTTTTATTTTACGAGCGAAAACCTGAATTATATCTAGAGATGGGGGAAGTTTGAACTGGTTTAATGTATGTAGGTACTATATATATTAGTATTATTTATTTCCTGTGAGCTTAAAAATTATAGCATAGGATACAGATAGCTCAAAGGGCCGTCTGCATCATATGATCATCGTGGAATCCTTTCTGCTGTAATTTTAAACTCCTCCCAGGAAATAAATAAATAATCTTCTGCCTTACGTTATTCGTGACCACCTAAACATTCTTAGAATAAAGATGGTAAGAGATTATAAAAATATTTTTATTAGAAAAAAAATTTAAATATTAATTTTAATAATATATTTTTTATATAAAAAATAAATTTTAAAATACAGATTAAAGAAAATTGTTTAAAATAATTAATAAAATTTTTAGTAAGACTATACAAAAAATTTTTTTTGGTTTACATAATCTGTTTAGATTAAAATTTTCAAATTCTTAAAAATTTTTTTTATATATTATAATAACTAGATAGATTTTTTTAAAAAAAATTAAAAAAAATTTATATGATTTTATATAAAATTTTGAAAAAAAAGCTGAGTTGTTAGGTTTGTTTGAAAATTTTAAATTATGAAAACCAAAAAAATTATTTTATATAGCTAATAAAAATTTAAAAGTTTATTTTTAAAATTTTTACTATTATATTTTTCTAAAAATAAGTATTATTTTTTTGTTATATAGTTGCTTATTTTCAAATATTTTTTTAAAATAAAATATATTTTTTAAAAACAATTTTTTACTTGTTTTTATTTTATTTTTTTTATTATTAATTGGTGATTTGTGTATCATCTAGACAAAAAACAACAAACAATATAGTATAACGTAATGCAGATCACTATATGATTTACATAAAGTGAAAACAGAAAGATTCAGAGATATTACAAAGTAAACTTATTTTTTTACTAAGTAAACCTTATAAGTAAAGTTGTAGAGCTCACTAAGACAATTCTAATAGTACTTGAAATGCTAAAATTGGTCTAATAGATTATGAGATACTTATAAAAATGTTTTTAAATATATAAAAAATTTTTTAAAAATTTTTTATATATGTTTAAAAATATTTTTATGAGTATCTTATAATCTATCAGACCAATTTTAGTATTTCAAGTATTATTAGAATTGTTTTAGTAAGCTTTATAACTTTTTTTTTTTTTTTTTTTTTTTAAGTCAGCTTACATTGCTGAAGGAATTTTTTTAGAATTGCATACAGGATA